GTTAATTTATTATTATGAATTATGGAAATATTGAATCATTAAAGGTACATAATGTAACTTTTGATCAAAATGTACAAAATTTATATAATGAGCAATTACATCATGAATCCATCCTCTAAACCGTGTTTTTGTCTTATTTTGAATAAATACAGTTTGTATAGTTTATACAGTTTTTATACAGTTTTATTTTAGACCGATCAAGACGCCGACATCTACAGGGGTAGCTGCAGTCTGGAGCAATGGGCGTACCGAAAGGAGGCATTCCAAAAGATGAATCAGTACAACAGAAACTATCCCTAGCCCAGCCCTAACCCTACCCCCACACCCTGACAGACAGCTTTGTCGACCAATCATGAAGACCTTTCTCCACGCCCCTACCTTTCGCCACGCTCATTGCTCCTGCCTGCAGTTAACCCTACTTTTAACTCTGTGGAGTAGCCCACCTGTGCTACTCGTCATAGACATAAACTGAGGGAAGTAGCTCCAGCTACAATGTTTTTCCGCAAGACACATACTGTTTTATTAACCTCAAGAGCGCCAAAAGTTATATAGTGTGCCTTTAATAAACAGATTTTTTTAAAGCTTTGACTCTAAAATATAATGTTGTTGTCCATGTTGTCCAATTCAATACTCTCTTTTCAGTATATATTCATATACAGTCCTATATATATTTAAACTATACATACATTGTGTTGGAGAGGAAAGGAGACTGCTAGGCTCTGGTTCTAACTATCAGCAGTATACACTCCTGGTGTGTCGGTCAGGACACAAAGAATGAGGAGACTGGAGCTTCTTTCCAAAGTGTATTGAATAATAGTCTAAAAATAACAATACAAAACAGTATAAGTAAAACAGGTACCTGTTCACAAATAAATCAGACACTTCCTAATCAAGAATACTAACATTTTCAGTATAATCTAAATAACAGCTGAAGTTTTCAGTATGCAGAGGATGCAATTGGAGACAATATAACTATTGGTCTGGTCCCATAAAATGATTTCAGTATTAATGTATATTAATAAATCCAGGTGAATTAACAAACCGTGCATTAATTCCCAAATAACATCATCAAAAAGGCAGTAATACTGGTTAATCCTTCCACAGTATCAAAACATGACCGATTACAGACAGATTACTATGTAAACTGTAACATCTAACTCTGTATTTAGCAGAAATTACATAGCATATCTTGTTTACCTATCGAACGATCACACGTCCGTACATGCCAGTGTAAACTACAAAGTTAAAGGGGTCATATGATGCATTTTTAAAGATCATTATTTTGTGTATTTGGTGTAACAGAATATGTTGACATGCTTTAATGTTCAAAAAACACATTATTTTTCAAACACTGTACATTATTGTTGTGATTGGCCGAACACCACAAGCACTCGTCGGAAATGTAACGCCCCTTACCATAATCGCGAGCTTCATCTTTCAAAATAAATGTAAAGACAGTAAATAATGTCATTAGTTTTACCATCAGTTCAAGCCCGAAAGAGGAACAGTCGCGAGAGTCAGAAGTCGTTAGAAATCCAATTGTCGCGAAGTATGCAAATCGCATGCAAATACTGACGAGCTCGGGAGGCAGTATAAAATGCGGTGCACGCGATAATACGTCAGAATCTGATACTGAACGCCGCTTAGCTGGTCGAGCAGCGAACACGGCGACCTCCGTGATGTCTCGTTCCCGCTCTCAGGGAACCGAGGTTACCATAGTAACCGGAGACGTTCCCTCTCGAGCTTTCACGCG